TTGGAAAAAGACATGCCATTAATAAAAAAAAATGTCAGTGAATTTTTTTATGTATATTTAACAAAGCCAGAATGTTAAGCTATTGAACAAAACCTTTTTTGTGTCATATCTGTGATTTGTTTGTTTGCTATAAAGTAAAAAAGCTGGGTGAACATCCTCTAAGTGTGGTGATTCCATAATTTTTGCCAGGGGTTGTAGTTGAGTAAAGGTATGTCTAAAACAGATCAATATGAGCTGCTAGACGGTATGCTGGATGGTTGTATGTTGTCTCACAACTGCATATTATAGGATTGCTCTAAAAATTCACTACATAGTAGCCTATAGCATAAGTCAAGTGTCATAGCCATTTTGTCTGAGGCTGTCATTATTAATGACGTCCTGTCCCACCAAAATCTATGGTCACGAGTTGCTGCTTTTTAAACATAAAGTAGCTGTCATTCGGATTCAGGTAGAGACAGAAACAGGACAGAAACACATTAAAAAGCCTAAAAAAGGGGAAAGTAGACACAGCCCATGGCAATATTGTGAACCAAGGTTTGCTTTTGAAATTTTAAAATTATTAGAAGTCTAGAAACATAACATTTTTTTGTCTGATGAAGAGGGTAGGCTCAAACATTCTAGTACAGAAATGTTACACTGTAGTGCTTTAAAAAGCGAAATGAAAGGTTTACGATGTTCCAGAAGTTTCAAGGTTCAGTTCTTTTCATACATGGTCTTTTTTGTAACAGATGGTTACATCATGGTTATTCAATTCAGCTGATACCTTGAGACCGAAGGAAATGAGTGATGTCTTAAAAAGAAACAGGAAGACTGAAACATATTGGAAATGATATTAAAGAATGACCCCCTTTTTGGCACTTAATTAAAATCTTCAGTAACCTAAATTTCCAGCTGTTACTCCAACTTTCTACTGTTAATTAGAGAAAAAGGAAGATCAGAGCAACTCTAATCATAACTAGAGTATAAGAACATAATTATGCCATTCAATTGGCCCCTAAGGACTGCTGTTGTACTTTAGGGGAAACATTTACATTGTGTGCACCTTGGAAAATGAAAATGTACCTGTACTGTAATACGCTTTATAATCCATTCTATAGACAAGTTAGACTTATGGGATTTATTGTGCTAGTTTTCAGTGAATCTCTCCACATGGCTTACATTTTGGCATGCTTTGCATTCAGGAAAGAATTGTGATTTCCTGTTGTGATAGTAATGCAGATCAAAGGACAGGGATACACCTTTAAATCAGCACCACTGGAGGCAGCACTTGCATTGGGCTTTTATTGAGCTTTTGAGCACCTTTCATTATATAATTTCTGAAGTTTGCAGGAAAACACAATCTTGGACTGTCTTCCTATTAGTTTGCCTTTGTTTATTTATTTTTATATTTGGCAGATTATTTTTTTATCCATAGCAACTATAGTCAAGTATACACAAGGCAAGAGCAGTTCAAGTGCACATGATTAAGTTTCCATTTTAGGGATACCACAAGATAGGTGTGGGTGGTAAGAGAGGGATCTTCAGGTACAATACATGCAGATTAACATGATATAAAGCTATAAATAAATATGATGCATGTCTTACTGTTGTACAGTACAGCATACAGAGTATGAGTGTACTCGGGTCAGATAGACAAGTGTTCAGATGATGATTCTTGATGATTACAAACTGCGGTAGTTAGCTGTTTGTACTAATGAGGAAACATATAGGAGATGCATTTGGAGGCACTTCAAACCACAAAATGATAACAATTCCACATGACATTCATACTCAGACCTTTGTGGACCAGATACAGTTTTGTTTATTTCTATATTTTACCTATATTTCACCATCTATTACCCTCACATTGTACAAGTGTGTAATAATGGATGACCTGAAGGATTTTGTGGATGGCTTTACACAGTGACATGTAGTTAAAGATACAGTTGGGGTCAAAAAGCCTTTTGTATGGTAGATATGGTACTTTGTCCTGTCCCTAATAATTTAAATCTAATAATGTAGTGTGGTTTCCTGAGTTTTGTCTATTTTATTACCACCAGTACTGGTTTATTTTACCTCATAATTTTGCAAAACAGACATTAATACACTGCTGTATTCAGATGTCATTTTGCACCATTCTAATGCAATTCTCAGTTATGATCCCCTTTATATTTCCTTTTTTTTTATGGACATTGTTTTTCCTGTTATAACAGACCAGTGTAAATTACAAACATCTATCAAACCAGAAGTCAAAATCTCTGTTATCAAGGCCATTTTAGCAGATCTTAGGTTCTTTAGTCTATCCTAAAAAAAAAAAAAAAAAAAAACTGTAATGGCATTCTAAGCATTCTGACAAATATATTTCCAAACCTTGTTTACAGACACAGTCCAGGCTTTTGTCCCATTTAGATCCTTGAATCCAGTTAAACAATAAAATTAAAACTAAGCCCATGAGCTCTTGGATTATTTTATTTATTTATGAAGAGGGTAATTGGGCAATAAGTGACCATCCTGTTGTTTAGCGAGGTCATGTGTTTTAGACTAAAATTGCTTTAAAGAATGCATTTTTGGTACAATAATTAATTGATACACACAATTTCATTAATTTCATTTTCATATTTAATATTTTTTTAGAAGTTGCCATGCCAGTAACTTCCCCACCTGTTAATAAAAATTCTGTATTTTATGTATTGTTTTTATGCTTGATTTGTGGATAAGCTGATTATGCTTAGATTTGAAGTGCTCCCATGCCTAGAAATTGATTTCTGTTTCATGGGATTTTTGCATCAATTGTACTCTTCTGTCATTACAGGATAGTAGTTAATGATTTAGCCCATAAAGAGTGTTTTCATTGATTCTGAAACTACTCCTGGAAAAGCTCACTGGTGGTTTTCAATAAGAGGTCATCAATA